GGCTTAACCAAATCAAACAGGACGTCACATATGCTGTCAGACTGAGACAATCAGAAGATACTGAGAGCTGTGCAGGAGTCAGCTGCAAGATGAGTCAGGCTGCTGGGTGTACTGCTGGAGTCGTGCATGGACTGTTTGGTTTGGCTGCTCATGCTGTCCAGTTTAGGTGTCCATGATGGTGAGTAGCTATGGGCCTTTTTATAAAATTATAAAAAAGTTCAAAAATGTCCTAAAAGAGTGGTATACAGGAAACACAGAATTTGAAAGATGTAATAAAGGTTCAGTGTGAATTCACTACAATTCAAACCACTGTCATCCACAATCAGGCCTAAATTTATTTACTAATAAATCATGTAGTTAAAAGCTGCTGTCAAGTGGAAATTCTCACAAATAAATGCTGCCTATTTTCCTCTCCTAAGCGTGCATAACCACAAAATTCCACTTTACCTGCCTCGTCTTTTTTCCTCCTCCTCTTCCTCCCGATGATGTTTACCGCAGGCACTTTACAGGCTATGTGTTTCTCTCCCCTAAATATTTTATTTTGAGCACATTCATTGTCTTTCGTTCACATGTACACACCTACACACATGCACATTGCATGACCAAAGAGAGCGCACGTGCACATGCGAAGACACATACTTGTGTGTGCGCACTTGCACGTGTATCTTGCATGTATGTGTTCCTGTGTAAATGGAGACCAGTTACAGATAATAGATGTCTGTGTTTAATATTGGAGGAGTTTGAGGTAACCGCAAACCTGCAAACCTGGGGTCACCGTGTGTGAGGCTGGACACCTGATCTGCAGCGCTGCTGAACAGCTATTGTAAAAACAGCAGACTTGTTGACTGATATCCTTAACCTGATTTTTGTTTCATTTATACTTTTTATGTCTGTGTGTGTTTTATTACCAGTGAGTACTGCTTTTACTATGTGTCAGAATTTATTCCTTAGCATATGCTAAGGAATAAAATGCAACGCTGTACCCGTCTTTCAATAAATGGCATACACGTTTGCGGGAATCCCATAAACACCAACTGACTTTATGAGTCAGCAACTAAAGAAATATGAGGTGCTGCTTACATCTGGAGCAAAAGATGGAGATGGGTGGGAGGTGTGGACAGCTAAGAAGAAAATAAGCAGTTCCAGCCAGGTGGCAGGATTAGTATACACATATAGTATAAACATCTATATTAACAAGCAGCTGCAGCATTTGATTTTTAATGCTAAACCTATAAGAACGTAAAGGTGCCATAGTCCATACTTGCATGCATGTTTTTTATCTCACTAGATTTGTTTTATGTTCATGTAATTTTTACTCTAAACCTATATTATAAGCCTAACTCCAAACAGGAAACTGATTTTTTATAGTCAGTGAACCAGATATTTAAGAATGGGTGTAGACAACATGTAGATCAGACTTTGCAGTATTAGGTTGAGGTTAGCTTTGGGTTAGGTCACCTGGTTTCATGACCCTTAACTTTTTGACCCTGGCATCATGTCACTGGGAAAAAGGTGGAGGTATTTCTTTCTGATAGCCCAGGCTTTCTGGGTTTGGCCAGTTAAAGGAAGAGTGGTATCTGAGCTGGGGTACTTTTGTACTTGCTGTATCATTAATGGGCCGCAGATAAAGATACGCAGGACTCCTGGCACTTTGTTACAGGTTAGGAGACGGGCTTAGAAAACTGATGCGTTTATCTTGTCCTTTCTATCTAGGCTTAGTTTTGGTCCAATTCACATGTGGGCCTGGCAGTAACCGATACATCAGTGAAGACGGTTAGAGATAGTTGTATGTTTTGTTTTGTTTTTTAAACCTATCTTAGAAAGCTCACACATAAAATATAATATTTCTTACTTACTGAGCCTGGTTTCAAAAATCCAGCACAAACACGCCATTTCAATGTCACATCTCATGCACTCATATTTTTTCCACTGTGAAATGATTTGCGGCATAAATCTTCTTGCATTAAAATGTTTACACGAGCTGGTCAAGAGGCTTGACAAGGCAGCACAGTCCAAACGTAAATCAGCATAAGTGATCGGATAGATTTTTCTGCAGTAATGTATCGTAGCCTTGGCATGCACAATAACTCAAGCCAAGGGAGAAGGAGCAAGTGTATCCAGCACCCAGCCCTCTGTTTGCCAAGCCAATGTGGTTGGGTCATCAAATCGACAATGTGATTGACCCATCAATTGACCCCGATGACCTTTCAGGCCAATCAAGCTAATGGTGGCTAGTGGTCCGAGCATTACTTTACTAGTTTCCTTTCACTTGAACCATATATTTGTGAGTCTGTTTACACAAAAACATGCAAACACAGGCTGACATCCAGTCAGATCACACATCCTGGGTTTCTAACCCATCTCAGTTTGTCTGTATCGACACATCCTTAACTCAGGGGCTCTCGTTAGTGCTGACCTTTTTCTGTTTGCAAGCCTGTTAAAATCAAGAAGCCTTATGGCAGTTTGCTTTATGGCCAAAGACTGTTCCTCTGATTTGAAATCATAATGTTTTTTGGTCTTTTTAAGAATTCTCAGGCATATGGGTGTTTGTTCATATTAATCATAACAATAATAATGACTCCCCACATACAATCCAAGCTACCTCATCTGGATCGATATGTCCCTGTAGACTAAATCTCCATAAATCAATTATATAGTAAAATTCTTAGACTGGGTGTGTCCAAATGTGCTGACTGGAAGTGGGAGCTGTATTGATCTGAACCAGTATGTGGTCACTGTATCAGGTTTCCAATTATTTGATGTAATGATAGTGTATGGATTCTTAATTGACAACAGTGTGTACATCAGAGATGCCGATGTGTGGTGGACAAGCTTGTTGATTCAAGTAGGGTAACAAATGGAGACAGTTCTAAAGAGTCAGTATAGATGGCCTGTAGCAAGAGTTTAAAATGACTGTCACCTCTTCACCACCACCATATGACTATTTCTGACACTTCTACTTTCCATTCTGGTGCCAGTAAAGCTTCATCCTTCAAGCTTCAGCCATACAACTCTAAGCATGTGTTTCCCGAAAAAAAAAAGCTGAAGATGGGTGTGGTAGACACACAGTGTGAAATCGAATCCAACCAGTTTTATGGCTAATTTTACAATTTTTCGCTATTTCTTTCTTGTTTCAAACTGTTCTCCTGACTAAAAATCAATTATGATGTAAACAAGGGGACTCAACATATGCTCAAAATTACCAATCATTTATTTAAACCAGTCATTCTTATGTTATTTGTGCTTTGTCCACTTTCAGAAGCCAAGAGGGTTCACACAACCATTACAAGTCAACTGTTGGCTATAAAAATAAGATACATTTCAGTAAAATAATGCCCATCACAAAATCATCGTGGATATTGTGGCGAATGTAAAAGCCTTGTGATAAGAAAAGCTCCCAGTTTAACTTGCTTTTAAGTAAAAGTAAAGTTCACCCTACCATTTCTAGAGCAGCAGCATCTCAGCCCTCACTGTCCATGCCAATCAATTCTGTCTCTCTCCCTCCCTCTCTCATATCAGCTGAAATGAACTGCACATCTTTTCCAAACAGAGCAATTTCTCTGCCATCTGTTCTCCAACATAAATCAGGGCTTGTTGATGTAAACCTCCTCCTTCCTCAAACTCTCCCAGTATGAAGTGAAGCGGGCCTAATCCCCCCAGTCTCCCCTGCTCTCTAAATCACCCATGCATATTTATGTCTGTGCATCACAAGCTAGATAGAAATGTCTCTATATGCAAAACACAAACCCCAAGGACATGGTCTCATTGAAGGTTTGTGATGAGCAAGGACAAAAACAGATTTTTTTAAATAGATGTGTATGGTAGAAAACTGGTAATATAGTTTGATTTGTAATATGCAAAATTTCAACATTAAAACATCCTTTTTTTTCACTTTGGCTCTTACAGTTATCCCGATGTTTCTAGAAATCTGTTAGTTCACACAGCAGATGTTAGTTCACACAGCAGCTGTTAGTTCACTCAGCATATCAACACTGGGCTACCACACCACTAAATTTATTTCATAATGTCATCTAAACTAGCTGCTTATCTCATGACGAGATAACAATTAACATTATGTTAGCTAACGATTCCTTTGTTTCAGCCATTTCATTAGAACCAAATATTATTTATACTATACCTTGTACAGCTTGACTAAAACTTTAAAGCATTTGTGTATGTGAAATTGATTTTTTTCCTTCAGTTAGACTCTCAGCTTGTAAATAAAGGCTGAATGTAGCCACTGTGATGTCAACTACTACACCAAGAATCCTTGATCCTACTTTTAGAGCAATGGCATCTAGTTATTTTAGAGTAAGAAGCATTGACAAAGTGTTGTTAACACAAAACCACAACAAGTATGCAAAATAGAAACAGTGGGAGGACAATCAAGACCATTTTTAGACTTGAGGATGCTAATTTATCAGCTAATGCTATCTTATTTGGTTAGCAAGATGCATCCATTGATAGCATGTTCATTACAAAGTTACAATATAAGAAAATGCAAGAATTATACTCATCAAAACTGTAAAACACACCTCCTTGTATGTGTTATTTGTATTTTCTAAAAGGTACCAACTTCACAAATATGGTGGAGTGGTCCAGACTACTTATCTGTATTAGCTGAAGTCGTGCATGGGCTAGCAAACAGCTATTAGCTTAAAGTAGCCACCTAAAACAACTACATGACTAATAATGCCAGTGTGTAGTGAGTTAAACCCTACTGTTATTACAAAGGTGGGAAATACTCATAGAGACAAAATCCATTTTTGCGCCAGTTGTAGACATGTTTATTGCTATTTAGAAAATGGATGCATGAATAATGATGTAACGGGTGTTTTAAAAAATAATTTATATTTCACCAAAGATCCATCCTGCAGTGTTATCTTGCTTTGTCAGTATTGGTTATGTATATGTGTTTATTTATATATGTTTATTTTCTGTATTTATATTTTGGGAGCTTTTATTTTGTTTGTGTGACCTTTTAGTGTGAATTAGTTTTTCTGTCGAGTACAGCACTTTATTGTAACATGCTAGTTAGCCAATCTCAGATGAGAGCATAGGAGCATGCACGTGGCTTCTCATGTGGTCCGCTATCCTTCTCTCTCCCTTGAAGGTGTTCATGCAGAAGTCCAGTAAAGTGAAGTCGCTGTACTGTTTTGTTTTTATTTTAAACAGGTATGTGAGTTCCCTCTTTTATTTTTGTGTCATGTGAACTGGTTATATCTTTTGTTTGTTTGTGATTCATGTTCACTGTTTCAACTTGCTGTTAGATATATGTAACTAAAAAAATATGTAAAATTGCCACTGGTAAATGAAGTCTCCCTAAAGTATAATTTTGTTGATGAGGTAATTGTCACTATATGTTCACGATGCAGTGCATTTTCGTTTGTTATATATGATTATAAATACATTTTAGCAGTATTATTTGTTAATTGGATTTATTGTTATGTTGCACCTCAGTCGCCTAGAGGCCCCGCTGAGGAGAGGTGTTCATGCAGAAGTCCAGTAAAGTGAAGTGCTGTACTGTTTTGTTTTTATTTTAAACAGTTCTGGGAGAATAAATCCATCCAGCTGGCAAAGTGAGAGCTGACTCCTCTGGTCATTCGCACAACACAACGCAGAGAACTATCGGCAATAAGAGTTTAAGGCCAGACCGGCTACAATAACATGGACTCTGAACCTAGCCTTAGGTAGCTATTTAAGGAATTGCTGTTCTTTGCCCTTGCAGTCAGCTATATTTTTATCAGTAGTGGTGATCAACAACTCCTTCCTCATGGTACATTAGTTTTCATTCATGCTGTCATTTTTGTCCCAATAATTAATTAAAACAGAAGCGATTCTACAATCTGACTCTCACTTTCCCTCCACACACACCTGACCTAACTTCTGGTGCTGTTTCACCATACCCCTTGCAGGTCATCATACATGCAAGAGAGCCCTTTTTTTCTATGTCTGAGCCTCCTGACCCTCTCAGTCACCCATACAGATGTTTCCACATCCGCTCATAATCCAGCCTAGTACACACATGCCAAGGATTAACACCAGCCTGGACCAATCCAGCCACATGTGTCTGAGGACAGAGAGCAGGACAGGACAACAGAACAGACATGGAGGTGTAAAAGTTAAACAAAACCACTGCTTCTGACACATTAACTTTTTAGTGGTTGCGTTTTGGATGTTTGCTCCAGTGGTTACGAAACACAACTCACACAACTTTGAGATACAATAGTTCAAAGTAATATCTGGCCAAATAAATCTGTACCGCAACAGGAGCAGGTTTTAATGCTAACAGATGGTTTGACAGGATTATGAAAGACACAAAGGATGCATGCACTTAAGGGAAACACATGCACAAGAGATGATGAAACACCGAACAGGCTTGTAGCTCCTTGCTTAATGGTAATAATTCATCTTTATATAGCAAAGGAACTTGGAAGCAGCCGTGTGACCTAGCTGCGTGTGTCATGTTTTATTTTAATTGGTTTAATTGGGTAGTTACTTTTTTCTCTCTCTCTCTCTCTCTCTCTCGCTGAAGCTTGGCATCCTGTACTGTCCTGGAAGTCGGTCGTTTGTTAGGGCCTTTTATCACATTTTTATTCATTACATTTATTTATTTATTTATGATTTGCATTTTTCTAGAACTAAATGATTACTCAACATAAACACATCCTCAGACCAAGGAACAACTGCACACACATTTATTTCTATAATATGTGGCCAAACTTTCATCTGACAGGCCCAATAGATCTTTCTATAGAAGATCCAATGAGCTTCTTCATAACACAGCACAGTGCAAAAAAAATGGCTTTGATTAAACTTTCACTAATTAAAGTCTTCCTCATCTTATAAGCCCGACTAATTGATTTAATTTGTCTTAGCCCAAACTATTGGCTGTGACCTCTACTTAGTTAATGAATTAATTGATTTAGACCAAGAAGTCAAAGAGGATTTTTGACATGTTGCCCCTTTAATCTTGCTTACTCTGGACACTCTTTGGGTCATAGAGGCAGTGTATTGGTGGAAGGTTTTGAGTGTGGGAGGTGGAGGGCGGATAGCTTCAGCTGTGGATTATTTTTTCCACTCCACCAGGATGCAATTACAGAGTAGATTGGGCCTTCTGCAGTTTGTCAGTGAATGAAGGAGTAGCCAGAGCGAGGACATTTTAAAAGCACCATCCCTCAGGTACTTGTAAACTTAGAGGGGGGGAAGCAGAGAATATTACCCCTGACTAACCTCCACCCTCGTGAAGAAGAGGCAGCGCTCTACCTCTTCTTCATGGTTTGGAAGAGACAAATATGAGTCAGTAACATTGCCATAATGCAGCAAAGATCCATTACAGAGGCTTTTGGATGTCCTAAATCAGTAGCATCTACTTTATTGACATCATTTTTCTTGGTAATGGTAAGATACATCGGAGCTTCCTCAGCACATGGGAAGTTATTAACCAGATGCGGGGGGAAGCCAACATCTGAACTTGGCACCATTTGGCGGGTGACATTTGCAGCTGTAATGGCACTAAATGTACTAATTTATGAAAGAAGGCAATAACATAGCAGGTGGATTTTGTTCAGAAGAGCCTCAAGGAGGAAAAGAAGAGATAGCTAAGTGCCGTGCCCTTTAGTCAGCCATGCGAGGGGAAACCTGGAGAAATAGCTCCCTCCAGTGGTGGTAAATTAAAATGTTTTCCTTCTTCGGCTGAAATCCAAGCTGAAAAGTCTCATCCAACAAGGAATAAATGTTTCAGAAAATAAAAGTAAAGGAATGAAAAGTGTGACACACATCTATGTAAAATGATCAGAAAAGGTTTCCAAACTAAAACTCTGCTTGCTCTGTTTAGTTTGATTTGTAGTTTAAGTGACTGATAGCAATTAAAAATAAATGTAAATTGCATAAGAGTGAGCTGAATAAGATTTTGAGAGCTAGTGAATGTGTTTAAGATGCAGTAAACTTGGTTTTCCACTAATGAAAGTTTTATTGTTTTCATATTCATCTTATTCTGCTCTTTAGTTTTCACACGTGTCCCTTTCTACTGGGCCAGTATTATTTATACCCAAGAACGGGATATGTATCTTTGCTTTCAAGACCTTTTTTTTCCCTAAATGTTCACAATTTATCTTTTAACAAGAACCAGAGAACCAAAGCGCATTAAAAGTTTAAGTCTCAAGAGGAGTTACGGAGAAAGATAGGCAGGAAAGTTTCTCACCAAGTGGAATCAGTCCAAAAACCTGTGCTGCAGGTTTTGTCCCCAAAGAGATCCAAAGACCCATTTCAAAGCTTGGTAAATAAATTTTTTTTTTAAAAAAAAGCGTGTACAGCTAAAAGCGAACTATTGGATACTTTTATATGACTGGGTTGTGATAAAATTGTCCATGAAGAAAAGTGTGGATTCAGCCTCTATCCCTAGTGGGAATAACATGCAGATTTAAGGTTCACATTTCCAGGGGGTAACATTTTTTTTCTATTAAAAATGAGAATTATCCTTGTTTTTCACCTGAAGCTTGGACAGAAGTCGTCTCTCGCTAAGCCAAAGATCACATTTATACATTAGCGCTAATGATTACATGAGCAAATGATGATGAAATGCAGCATTCAAAGTGTCGACCCTGAGCTTTTAAGAGCTCTTTAAGAGAAAACGTTCTTGGTAAATATCTCACTGAAGGAAGCAATATAGGCATCTGTAGAATACAACAATACTGTCTGCAACATATAGAATATGAGTGGGTTTAAAGGCTGCACTAACTTATCTATGCCCAGTGCCACACACACTTTTTACCACAGTTGTGATACAGACGGAGATTATACACAACAACTGAAATGCAGGTTTTGATGAGAACAGATTTTATTGTAATTACAGTGTAACTTTTATCAAATATATAACTTTTATCAAACTTTATATATATATAAAGTGTATGGTGCAGTTTTAGATTTATTAAGTAATACAGAAATAAATTGGGGGGGAAAGGGAGATCGACGAGAGACATTTTTTGATTCAAGGAGTGAAGAGAACCACTACAAACTTATAATGGAAAGCGCTAACATTTTGTGCCAGTGAGCACAGAAAATACTCATTTTAATAAGTATACGGCCATTAAATTTGTAAGGTCAGAGCTGACTTCAGACTTTGGCTACCACTCAAATTATTATGCTATGGATTTCATTACTAAAATCAATCATAATGCAAAAGAAAAGCACACAGATTCATATATTCAGCCTCGGTGACAGCTTTATGTTTGTTTGATAAAATATTATAGGTTTGTTTTTCTAATGTTGCATAATACACCTTTAAATTCTTAGCAAAGTGACCCAGATCCCTATTAACAACTGTAATAAACGCCTTTGAAAAAATTTAAAAAAATACCCCTGCATTTATTATGACTTATGGTCACCTGCTGCCATCTGGCTTGCGGACAGATACCAGAGATGTAATCCTTGGGCTGACCAATAAATCTGCCCAGTGAAGGTTACGTGATATACAGAGAGACTTGACCATGTTTATGTGGCACACAGCTTATGAGGACGTCCAAATGGACACGCATAGCAACAGTGTGTTTGGTTTGCAGACTGCCCTTTACAGCGTCTTTTCACTAAAACGGCCGCAAGTTACAGGACTCCAATTTGCTGGCTTCTCTAACACACGTAGGTTTAATAGGTCAAGGTAAACTAATGCAGTCTAATGCAACAGTCCTAAATGGTAGCTTTTATTGCATTTGGTGTGGTAAACAACACACCAACCAGATGTTATTGTGATTTTATATATATATATATATATATATATATTTACGTGTTAATTCAAGGAGTTTTATGCAAAATTCTGCATGAACTTTTTAGAACTGCTACCAGTTTTATACACAGTCCTCCATTTTCTGATGCGCGAATTTAATCGGCCAAACTCACATCAATGTTTATCTCTTATGATCATTTTGGTGTTAGTTACTCTGGGTTTCATCTGTCCAAAGTTTGTTTGTTTGTTTGTTCTTCAGAACTGTGCTGACAACGTTTCCGACAAATACAATCTTACCTACTTCCTTCCTAGTCTTGAGTTTAACCAGTGGTTTGCACTTTGCTGCAAACCCTTTGTATTTCCATTCATGAAGGCATCTCTCGACTTTAGGCATTGAAAATCATACGCCTACCTCCTTGTAGGAGTTCTTGACTTGTGCAGTTGTTTTCCTTAACCATGGAAAGAATTCTGTCATCATGCACTGTAGTTACCTTCCGTGGTCTTTCACACCTTTAGGCATTGCTGACCACTTCTTGAGGATGTACTAGATTTTTTTTTAAACTTGGCCACTCCATATATATATTTTATGTAAAAAATTTAAAAACAAAAAAACAAAAACCACCTTGAATTAAAAGCAAAACACTGCACTTCAATCACATATTATCATTGCTAATTTACAATCCACTGAGATGGTGTACAGAGGCAAAACAACAAAAAAGAAAGAAAGAAAAACATAATAAAATGGTAATGTGATATTTCCTGGATCTTATTTGCACACTGTAAGGACTGTAACATATCCAGAAACTGCGTGCTGCTTTTCTAAACGTTATTCATGCTGAAGAAATGTGGTCTGAAGGCCAAATGGATGTGAAACTC